CGCGTCCAGAGTTTTGGCCGCCTCCACCGGTCTTCTAGCCCACTGTGCGAGGGCGGCGGGCGGCGAGAGGGACCCGGACCGGCCGGGGCTAGCCGGGCCGGCGGGGAGGCGAAGGGGCTTCTGTTTCATTAGGCGCAGTCACCCCTAAGGAAGATACCGGCCCTTGATTCTGACAACTAATTTTAGTGTCACAGCGGCGGCAGGGCTGAGCAGCGGGACCCGGCCCCGCCCTCCCGTATTCCATCATCAGCACACTGTTGAAAGTGAATTGGAAAATCCCAGAAAGTGCGTTCGGAAGGCCCGTTTCGAGAAATTCCTAAATGCCTCCTTTTTTCACAACAGACTTTTTTTCGTACTATATACCTGCTGGATACTCGTTCAAAATAAAAACATTGGAGGTCTACGAATTTTTTTCCAAGATTTTGCAAATTTTGTTTCCGACGTAGGATTTTTTTTAACAGTGTGGCGAAAGCAGCAGCAGCAGCAACACCGACAACAACAACACTAACAGCGCCCTAACGAGCAGCAAGCAGCAGCAGCAAGACGCACGCCCTGCGACATGTAGATCCGCGAGGAGGAGGCGGCGACTGCACGCAACCTCAAAAAAAAAAAAAAAAAAAAAATACCGCCCAGCAATTAGGAACTTGAATTGCTAAGCCAATAAGTACAGAAAGGTTGAAAAAAAAAATTCCGAGGCTCGCGGCAAAGTTTCCGCGAGCATCGCCGCCGACGCCGACCGACACTGAAAACGGAGAAACAAACAAAAAGTTTTCCATGGCGACTCGGCGGTTTTTGAACCCGGGACAGTCGGTCGGTGTGTTTGCGGCTTGGGGCGAGGGGAGGAAACGAGGCGACCGAGCAACGCCAGACACGCCTTCATCGGCAACACGCACCGCGGACTGACTCCGAGAGTCGTCGCTCTGTCTCTCTCGCACCTGTGCGGCGCGCCCCGTGAGTGCGAGAGAGACAGAGCGACGACTCTCGGAATCAGTCCACAGCGCACGTTAAGGCCGTCCATAATTCAAAGCGGGGCCCTGTGTAAGCACATCGCGGGTCGTTCTCGGATTCTCGGCTTGGCTTGCCACTGCGCCCGGGGCGGCGCGGGGCGGCGCGGGGCGGCGCGGGGCCTTTCGGCTCCACTTTAACTCAGCCACAAGTTTGCATGACCTGCGCCACTTAAACAAGGGCTGCCTGGGGACCCACCTGTAGCACCGAGCCCTGACGGAGGCCTGCCATTTTATTTTTTTAGGGTGGAGGGACAGCAGTGCTTTTGCTTCCAACCGCACCCTTGAGCTTTCCTCCCCCCCCCCTCCCCCTTTCCGGTTCCAAAAGATAACGCACGTGCGGCGGGGCGCGCCAAACTTCGTGTTTGTTTCCTTTCTCTGCGAAATCCTCCTCGGCTTTTAATTGTCTTTCGGTGGCGTTTCGCGGGATGAGCCACCTCCCCCGTCTCTCTCCCTCCTCCTTCTCTCCGAAGGAGAAAAGCTACCTCTCCCTCCCTCTCTCCTTTTCCCTTTCCCTCCTCAGCGGACTGGGCAACGGGATTTGTTGATGACGTGTTATCGCGCCCATGCAGTGGGTGAGCTTTGATGCGAAAAATCTAGTAATGTCAATGTCCACCTCGAGCTGTCATAAAGTGGCGAAAATAAATTCCCACCATACGTTTGAAGGGAAATCCATCAGTCGAAGTCCCCTCATTTCGAAGTCGTGGGACATCGTTTTCACGTAACCGTCTCTCGCGCAGTCTGCAGCGGGCGGGTTGGAGTTCCCTTCCCCGTCAGCCTCGCGACACACACCCTTTGTGGAGTAGAAACAGGGGACACCTCGTCCAAAGCACGCACAGTGGGCCAGAAGACCGGTGGAGGCGGCCAAAACTCCAGACGCAATTTGAGCTCCAGAGTCGCTACACAGGCCTCAAACCGAACGTGTGACCCCACCAATGGATTCGTCGTTCGGAGAGCAATTCATTGGTGGGGTCACACATTCGATTCGAGTCCTGTTTAGCGACTCTGGAGCTCAAAACGGGTCAAGAGTTTTGTCCACCTCCACCGGTCTTCTGGCCCACTGTGGCACGCCCTGCGAAGCGCTTCACCCGGCCAGCGGCACAAGTGGCCCAAAGAGAGCAGAAATAAAATGGAGGCCAGGGGCGAACGGCCCCAGCGGACTGATTCCGAGGAGTCGCGCCGTCGCTCTGTCCTCGTCGCACTCACGGGGCGCGCCGCGGCCGCGAGAGAGACAGAGCGACGCAACGAGTCCTGGGAATGGCTCGGCTGGACGTGGCTCGGCCGGCCAGCGCTGCTGGCTGCTCCACTGGGTGCTCCACTGGGTGCCCAGCGACGCCCATCCATCTCCCAGAAAACAAATAAAGTATCAGTGTCACCCATTAAACGGCGGGCAGCGCAGCGCGGCGGCAGCGGGCACTGGCTGCGCTGCGCGGATTACGGTCAGGGCGAGCAGCAGCACAGTGGGCCAGCAGACCGGTGGAGGCGGCCAAAACTCCAGACGCGTTTTGAGCTCCAGAGTCGCTAAATGGCACTCGAACCGAACGACTGATCCCACCAATGGATTCCTCGTTCGGAGAGCAATCCATTGATGGGGTCACACGTTCGATTCGAGTCCTATTTAGGGACTCTGGAGCTAAAACGCGTCTGGAGTTTCGGCCGCCTCCACCGGTCTTCTGGGCCACTGTGCAAACTCTGAATTTTTTTGAAAAGTGTTACTCTTGTGCATTCGTTCCATGACATCAGCGAGCTGGCCCGAATAAAAGCCCCGACCAATTACACGAGTTCTTGCGTCAGCAGCGAGTTCCCTCGAGTCCCGGTCCTCGGCCAGACCGGGTCCTTCAGCTCCCCGGCAGGCCCAGGGCGGCCCTCCCTGGCTCTCCAGCCCTCAACCCTTCGCCGCGGCCCTTTCACGGCCTGAGGACTCGGCGGCCAGGTGGCCCTTCTCGGCCCCCGAGCCCTTCAAACTCCCTTGCACGCCGCGGCACGGCCGGCACGCGGCCCTCTTGGTGCCCTTCGGTCCTCCAAACCGCCGTGCAGTCGTTTTCGTCGCCCTGTCTGTCTCGAAGGCAACGCCCCGTGAGTGCGAGGGAGACAGAGCGACAGTCCGCAGCGCGGTCCAACTGCTCACCTTGCCCCGAGGGTCGGTCACTCGCGGCGCTGAGAGGCGCGGAGCGGCGCGGAGGGTGCCCGCTCAGGCCCCGAAGGGCGGGAGAGGCCCTCTGGCGGTAATCCTGTGGTGCGGGCGCGGCGGGGCGGGGCGCGGGCCAGCGGGGGTCTGCCGGAGCCCGACGGCGACGTGCGCGAGATCGTCGGAACGGCCTGGCGGCGCGGCGGCGCGGGGCGGCGGCGGGAACGCGGCAGGTTGCGTCGCGGCGACTGTTCGGCGCGGACCTCCACGGCACACTGAGGTCCCCGGCAGCGCCGCTACCCGGCGCCAGCCGAAGCGCCAGCTAGGCCACCCCCGCGGGCCGCAGCTCGGGATGAGGGCACTGGGGGCGGCCGGGCACGGGCCGGGCCGGGCGGCACAGGCTCCACGGGGAGGGAAGGGTGCTGCCAGCCCTGCCTGCCTGCCTGCCTGCCTGCCTGCCGGCCTGCCCGGCCTGCCCGGGCGTGTTGGGGTTTAGGGGCGGCGTGGTGCCGCGGTCTGGTTGTCCCTGGTTGCCCGCCTGGCCGGCTGGCCTGGCCGCCCTGCATGCGAGTAGGGTGGTACGCCTGTGCCGACCACACTTGGGGTTTGCGGTCGGAGCTCGGCCAGGTTTAACGCCATTGCAAAGTGAGAACTGTGGTATGTGCGCCGCCGTGCCGCACACATCACCCTCGCCGCGCGTGGAAATGCTGCCACTGTTTCCCATGCTCACCGCCTGCGGGGTAGGCAAGTCCGCGAGCCGGTCGTGCCCATTACCATTAAGGGCTAGACCCCCGGGCGTTCGCTCGGGCTGGCTAGGACCAGCACCATGTCCGCGCTTGCGGCTGCGGGTACTCCAGCCGGAACATGAGCGTTTTTATGGATGGGCAGAGACGTGCTGGGCGCTGGGGCGAGCCAGGGCCCGGCCAAGGCCCCGGCAGAGGGAGCCAAGCGAGGCTGAGATAGTCGTGGCCGCCTCGCTGCTTCGCTGCCTCGGCCTGGCTACGGCTTGCCTTCCGCCTTCAATTCCAGTCGGGCCCGGCCACTCCTCACCCCTAAACAAGCATTGGAGCGAGCGGGCCGCCCCGCCAGCCCCGCCAGCCCCGCCCCAACCCGACTCACTGCGAAGCCCGCGAAGCCCTGGGCTCGGGGCCAGCGGCCACCAGCCAGCTCTGTGGCCCGGCCAAATGGTGGGGCGACCCTGCTAAGGGCGGGCCCTGCCCTGCCTGCCCTGCTGGTCCCCGGACGGCCCTGGGCGGGCGGACGGCGGAACACTGTTGCTCCTGGTGTTGCTTGGGCAGGGCAGGGCCGGCAGGGCTGGGAGGGAATTGAAAATAAATAAAGGACATGTCCCTGGCGACCGGCGACCGTATGGGCTCCGAATGGGGCCTTACCCCAGACCGCACAGCCACGGCACTGCCCCACGCCGTGCGACGCGACACTGCTGTGGGCGGTGCCTAGCGGTGCCGTGCCACGCGGCCAGGCCAGGCCGCTCTCCATGCGGCTGGAGCCCCTCGCGCGCGGGGTAGCTACGACGGGGACTGGGCGATCCCCTTGCCGGTGGAGGCATGATGATGTTGGAAAGAGTATAGGACCGTCGCCACCCCACCAATCAGGGCCTCTCGATCAAGCTCTCCGCATTGCCAACACTGTGAGAAACCTCGGTGCATAGGGTGTTGGAAAGGTCATTTTCATTAACACTCACGTCTAAAAGTAAAAATTTATTTTCATATCTTAACAATGTTTGTACTATGTTAAACTCCTGTACTATCAGCCACAAAAGAAATGGCACTGCTGGTACTGCACAAGTTACTTTTGCAAAGATTTTTGAGGGGACACTTCTTTTGAGGCTGATAATACAAACTCCAATATCAACACTTTTAAATGCATTCGAAAAATTAGTAAAAAGACCTAATCATAAGGCACAAGTTAAGAAAAGAGGGCATTGGGATCCCATGTTTGTGCTCACATGTTCATGTGGACATAAATTAAACAACACTCATGAGGCGTATAAAAAGCAATGCACAATAAGTGCACAAAAATACAGGCAAAAATCACATTAGATTACAGAGTCCATTGCACTATTGGTACATAAAAATACCAGAAAAAAATTACATTGTATGCGAGTGTATTGCACATTGGTTACATAAAAATACCAGACAAAAATACATAGTATAACGAGTAAATTGCACAAATGGTAAATGGAAATACCAGAAAAATAAGTACATTCTAACACTAGAGTGGTAGTTAGACACATCCACCAGCAACAATCATGAGATGGTTAAATTAAATAAAAACAAATACAGATGTTAGTACATTTGTAAAAGTATTACTGCATGACTAGACATGGTTTCACTTACTAATAAAACAGTATTCTTATTCAATGTTGTTTCACAACATATCAGGAGCAAAGGTAAAGCAGATCCATAATACAGGATAAAACTAAGCAGAATAAGTGCCTTCCATTTAAATAATCAGTCTTATGAAACATAAGAGGAGTATTCAGGCATAAGGCTTACAAAAGGTGGGAAGACTTAGGAAATTATAAAACTTAAAAGGAAAAGGAATGAAAGAATTGTCTAAAGTTCTCAAACTTGGCATTCGTTTGGCACGCAACAGTAAGTGGGAAGTGGGAGACAGATTTTGCTAACCTGCATTCAGCAAGCATCAACCTTTACAAGGTAGATTATCTCTGTGATCGAGACATAAAAGCTTAAACGGCCAAAAACTTAAAGTAGAATGTAAGATTACAATCAATATGTGCGGTGCATTAAAACAGCGGTACATAAAAATACAAATCATGCTTATGTACACTTTTGATTTGCTTCAGGCTGGAGAGGCAGAGGAAAGTCTACTTCTTCGCAAATTATATCTTGTGCTTGCAGGGCTCTGAAATAAAAGATAAACACAATGTCAAACAGAAAATATAAATCTAAGAATGCATCATGAAAACAACTAAGAGATAACGAACTTACATCACTTTTTACTTGGGTTTTTGTCCTGGCTTTGGAGCGTGCAGTCGAGGGACTCACGATGGAGATTGAAGTTTGCTCCTCAGTAGAAGTATTGACATCAGAGACATCGAGAAGATGGTCCTCTCTGATGGGCTTGAATGCTGACTGGACCGTTGGAATGCCTCTACCCATCATTCTCAGCGATGAATTAAGCCCATTTGAAGTAGGGGGTGTTTGGGGGATTGGCTTTACCACAGGAGATTCCATCAGGCTTGGAGTCACAGCTCGCTCAGACAGGGATGAGGAAGATCTTGTTAAAACTGGCCCCGACAAGGAGGAGGAAGAACTTGTCAAGATAGGCATGTATCCTAATCCATTCACTCCGTCGGTATCATCAAATATTCTTGATGGACTTGTTCCATTTAGATCCAGTTTTATTCCTGCAGAAGTTCAGTATGGCATTCAAATTAAAAGATTATTGAATATTAACACATCCATAAATAATAAAATAAATACCTTCTTTGTGTAAGTATTTCAGCAGTTGCTCATTTTGACTCTTAATTTGTTCCAGCAATTGATGCATTACCTCTTCACGGTTTCGGTAACGATACAAAGTTACCAAGAGCAGCATGGTATTTGATGCAACAGCACAACGCCGTACCAACCAAACCCACCATCTTAGTCTTTCCTAAATGAAGGGAGGAAAAATAAAACTATACACATATTTCATTACATGAACATAAAAAGAAAATGTGCTCCACAAACTGAACAGTGTGCATGGGACACTCTACCTGGAGCGTGCCTGCATGCACACCGTTTAGTTTGCAGAGCAACTGTTGATACATACGTTAATAACATCAACAGGCTGGAAAGAGGTTGGTTCTGCGCTGTCAGCCAGAAGCACATAGGATATGAAACGTTCGATAAGGCCAGCAAGAAGCAGCATTAAAAGGCCCGGTATGCGAGCACTTGCTGTTCTCTGTGCTGATGTTAAAAAGTACACAAATGCAAAACTTGGGATGTAAAATGCAATGGCATCCACCCAGGAAACTTCCCCGACAATCCAGGACTGCAGTATTGACAAATGATGGAAAACCATACTAAGTAAACGCTGCTGTTCCACAGTGGATTCTCTGCAAAAACAAGAATAGCTATGTGTAAACACAAGAATTTAAATTTTGATTTTAAAAATGTTTTGGTTATATATCTACTTACCTGAACTCGGAAAAGATGAGATTCAGGCTATCCCTCGACTCATGTAGCATGCTTCCCAGGTTAGCACCATTTTCTAAAAGCTCTCCTTGAATCGCTAGACTCTGGCGTTGGTGCATTAGGAGTTCTTCTTGAACTTGTTCAGATGCCTCAAGTTGTCGGGCAACATCAGCAGCACTTGTGGACAGCCTAAACTCATCACATAAACCAAAGGCAGTTAGAAAAATCCAGCAAAACATGTGATGAGATTCGTTTTCTTTGTCAACAAGTGGTGACTAACCTGTCGATGGTCTTCTCTGTCTCCTCATGCCACACTTGGCTCATGATGAAGAAGCACATGGACTGTGTATGAGTGAAGAATTCAGTGTAGGCGATGAACGCCCTCTCTGACATTTTGCTCAGACACAAGTCGTTGCGCTTTGCTGCAGAGTCCCCAGGAGCGCATTCATGCTTGGCCAGGCCTGCTCCTTGGAGGAAACAGTTGGCGAATCCTAAGGCAATGTCACTTTGGGTGTTGTCATTGAGATGCTGACAGCCTTGGTGCAGACTCTCAACAGCATCCTTCCAGCAGCTCCCAAAAGAAGGCATAGATGTTTTCATTTGCACCAGGTTATACTGCTGTTTACCCTCTTCCAAAAGGGACACCAATTCCCTTGGCCGGAGAGGTACACCATTTTCTTGGGATGTCACGCAACAGACAAGGAATGTCAGCACTCGGAAATCCAAAACCCAACAAGACTTCGACGTCATTTTCTGTCAATCTGTCAATCAAAACACAAACACAAACAAAGCCAGGCCGGCCTGCGTTAGTTGTGGTGATTCAAACTTGCACATATTGCCACCATTATGGGCAAAAATTTTCACTACTTTAATCTTTACAGTCTGAAAACCAACCTCAGTCGGAGGTTACCCAAAACAAAATATGTACGTTTAAATTGTCGCTTATGATTCATGTTTTGTTTTAATAGGATATCTTAAATCTGTTCAATGTCCAAGCCGTCTGCGTAGGTTGGTAGTTGTTGCCAAGCCCTGATTGGTCAGCTGCCGGGCCCCAGTGGTGGCGCGAGTTTTAAACCGTGGCGGGAATCGAGACTCCATCTCATGGGTCGTAATGTACAATCAAATCGTTTCTAAATGTTAGGAAAGGAGCTGGAGAAAAAAGACACAAGTTGTCACGTAGCTAAACTGTATTTAATATATTTAAAAGACTTAAGTTGCCTATATACCATCATGATTTACTACAGACAATACCGTTATTCCGTATGATGCTATTGAAATTACACCGAAAAGAAAAACTGGTATTTTGAGAGCACGTCTATCACTAAACAAATATCTTCGGCTGAAAGAACGGTTTTCTCCTTCTACCATCTTAAATCTATTACAGTACTCCTATCATTTTTAAGTCGATACAAGGGATCGCCGCTCGCCTTCACAAAAATCGTGCCAAAAATTATCCCCGATCCATCCAGCTACCACTCTCAATGAATCTATGGTTCAATTTGTAGATTGTACTTTTGCGGGACATTGAGCTGTTGCCTAGACTGCCAAGGGTTACTCTGAAAAGGGTTCGACGCCCGAAAGAAGTAACTCTCAAGTCTCTATTTCCTTGAAACTGCTCGACATGAGTGTCATTGTAGGTTTTCGCGCCATACCTTCAAAATGTCGTTCATTTAAAAAAGTAAAAAGGAGAAGGAAATGAAAACAATTTTGAATCATAATAAGAGCAATTACGTGCCATTATAAAACAGTCATGGAGAGTGATAGCAGATCTCAACAGTCTCTTTGAGTAATACAACCTACTTGGTGTTACAAACGGCTTCAGGTTTCGTCAGATCGTCCAACAGCCGGCGTGTTCTAGTCTCGTTCCCATCGCAACGCGAAAGGGGAGACGCTTTGCCGCAGAAATGCTTTTGTTTCACAGAAATGTTTCGAGTGGAACGTTTGATAATTGCCAGGCAAAATAAGTTTGAATATGATTGAATATGACAATCGGCCACGCTATAATACGAATCACACTTATTTGTTTATATTAACGATCATTTACGTCTTCACACAAAGTAAAGTCCTTCGAAAACTCGTACGAACGATAATCTACAAATGGCAATATCAACAATTAAATCTTGGTTCATTAGCTTTTAAGTCGTCACAAACCGAAATATAAACACGGTACATAGGCCATCTTACAAAATAATCCGCGACAAAGAACTATGATACAACAATATAAAAAGTATGCCCCTACCCAAAAGCGACTGCCGTCGACACAACGACATACTCACATCACTTGACCACAATGCCCGATTTTCCTCGACTGAGAGGTATGTACACCTTTAACTAGATCAGCTATGGTACAATCTTGCAGACGGGTGGCTGCCTAAACAGAAAGGCTTGGTCTAAGCCTAAAAAATCCAAAGCTCTTGATTTTAAAATACTGAGTAATCAGTGGCCATCTTTAGAGTAGAGCGAAATTTTCTAATCAGAAATAATAGCTAAAATCCGGAAGATTAAAATTTTCTATAATTTTCATGCTAGTCATACATAGATTTTGCTCAAGGGTGAATTTTACTGTAGCACCTGGAGTTTTATTTAAAATTTCAGCGGCACAAAATTTGACGTCTGCGACATTGGCGTATAGTCAGTGCGTCTTAATACATTAAGGCACATCCTACACGAAAGAAACCTTTATCAAAACGCAAATAGAGGTTAGAAATGTTGTGCATTTAAAAAGTGATCAAGTCCCTTAGAAACTAGTACCGTTTATGGATTTAATCAAAACAAAACTTCTCGAAGCTGCTACTGACAGAATTCTCAAATCCCAGCAATTTACCACCTTAAAACAGCGAACACGTCTAGGACAGCACATCAATTCCTATTAGCATGCCAAGAAATACAAAATGAAAAATCATTTATAATGATATGCTCCTAAGTGTGGCTGAGGACCCGAGCTGGCAGCTTGCCAGGCGACTCCAGCCATTTGCAAAGGACGCAAACGGCATTCCGTCACTTGACTGGCTCTCAACGTGGCCTCGCCATAGCACCACACCCTCTACGATGACACCTCGACCCCGCGGATTCGGTGTGCCAAGAGGGAAACATAACTAAAACACATTTTTTGGTAAGTACTTGCAACAATTTAGAAATTTCCTAGTTTTAAATATTGTCACCGTCCCTTTCCGTGCAAAGATGTACCGCACTGAAAAAAACCACCCGAACCATTGCGCAATAGTTAACACAAAAAGCCTTTTTTTAGAGTATTCCCCGCTTGGGCCATCGCGTGGCCTGTAGTCAGCAAAAGCCTCGAGTAAGGGTGATAACATGGGCAATCCCTTGCTATCACCTATCACCTCGAAACCCACGAGGATCACCAACAGTTCATTGAAACAATCACGAAGCACATACCAAACAAGAAACACACCTCACCTGTGACCTGTACCGGTTTTCCCTATTCGCGTGTACTACAGAGATCCCGAAAGGAGTTCCAAATTCTATTTAAAAAAAATGAGAATCCCAGAAATTACGCGTGAATATTTTTACAACAACTGCGAAACGGCACTTTTACACACAAGTGCATTATCTATATCACACTATGCTTAAAAGACGGCATTATTATTTATTTTTTTTTAGAAAAAGCACCGTGTGCGGGTAAACACAAGTACACCCCTCCCAAGTAACACAGACTCGTGACGGCGCGGTCCATGAGGCCATGAGGCAGTGCTGGGACACTGATTAAAATCGGCCTCGACATGACCCGCATGGAAAATGGCTGCAACACAGACGGGTCCCGCGCCCTTGCGATGTGGATCAGGAGAAAATTACAAAAGGGGGTTTCCGATGTGAACGAAAACCATGACTGCTCCAAAGCAAGTCCAAACTGGGTTCAGGTGTGGTTTTGCTACTGTGCGTGAGACTAGAGGGGTGGAGGATGCGGGACAGACGCCTCGTTCGACATTGGGTGCGTCCCAGCCAGGGGCGGGTGGCAGGCGAGACGTTCGGTTTTTGACTCGATCAACTTCGGGGAAAGTCGAAACTTGGGCCACTCACACCAGGCTGGGCTCCTCGCGCCCGGCGTGCCAGCTCTGGCAGTGCCCGATGGTGAGATGCAGTCGACACAGGTCTGTCGAGCGATGGCGTGGCGGCAGGGGGAGGCCTTGACGGAGACCTGTCTCTCCGTCTTAGTTGGGCGCGCTTACCCCCCTGCCCCGAGCCATCACCCACCACAATCAAAACTACTTGACTGCTGCAACTAAAGTCAGAAGGCGGAGGAACTAAAAGAGTCAATAAGGCAGACGTTCCGGGAGCTATCCTTAAACACTAAAGATTACGAGATTAAGAATATTTGTTACGTTAATACACATTATATAATGATAATCATGATAGAGTAATAGGATACTAAATGGTTATATTTTGACACAAAGCAAAGTATTCATATGGTTATATATTGAAAACACGCTCCTTTGTGTTTGCCAACCGTTTGAGAAGTAATATAAAGCTACTTGTCCATTATTTTTTTGAATTTTTTTATAAGAGAAAGGTATCAAATCTTAAATAGGATCAACAAGCTGCGCGCCGCGGCGGCGGCCGCCCTGGTGTGTCTCGCCGTGCCTGTCGGGGAGGCGGCGGCCCTGGCGCAGTTTCGAGTGGCTAGGCGGCCAGCCCTTCAGGATCGAGCTGCCGCGCGGCTCTGCCAGTGTGGCAGACTTGCAGGACGGGCCCCGCTCCCTGTCAAGACGGGCGGCACACCGCGGCGCCAGCCATCCCTCACACCACCGTGCTAGGGTGCACCTACGACACACACACACACGCACACACACATCGCTAGAGTAGGATAGATAAAACGTGCGCACACTAGGATGAATAATGGTGGACTATATATGTGTCTCCCGCGGGGAAGGACTGCCTTATAGACTGAGTGGAGGCCGGCCGGGCGGGGCTCGGTGGCGGTGGAGCAGTGTGCCGCCTCGGGGGGGCGCCCCCGCCGCAGGGACCGCCTCAGGGCTCAGGTTCGACGGCGAGCCTGCCGGAGCGCGTCTTCCTCGAGGCTGGCTGGCTGGCCGGTTGACATGGCCGCCATGCTCCGGGAGTCCCTCGCCCGGCTCGGCACTACGATCACGGTCGCGAGGTTTCAAAGTCACGAGACTACCCGCCGATGGGCGTCGTACGGCCAGGCTGGCGACTTTGCCGAAAGCGAAGAGGGAAAGGGCGTTTAGCGCGACTGTACGCGCCGCCCTCTACGAAAGCGGTGCGACTGCGTTGGCACGGCTGCCTCGGACTGCCTCGAACTGGCGCGGCACAGCGGACCCAAGTCGCGCAGCTGGTCGCGAGGGCGTCTCTCCCGCACTGAGTTTGGCACACCTAGTGGTCGCTGGGGCACTGGTAGAACCCAAGCGCAGTGGCGCGCTTCAACCAAGCATGCAGAAGACTTTACAGTTCTACCAGTGCAGGAAGCCTGGACCGCGAGAAAGCGGGACCGACAACGAAAAGGGAGGGGGATCCACATCACGGAGACGCGCGGGAGTTGCCGTCGCAGGGGTCAGTCTGTCAGTCACATTGCACACTGACTCCGTCGAGCTCACACCCCTTCTGACGTTCTGTGTTACTTGATTGTTCCTTGCATTGTGCTCATAATAGTCTTCACAACCAATCCTTTGATACAGTTTAAAGGTACATAGTCCGACTTATACATACAAAAGAAACATTAAATTTAAAGGCCAAATGTGTTACAAGTATCCAAAATGGGAGTATTTTTTCGTAAACGGCTCGTCCACCTTACAGCTTTCCCTGCAACACACAAAATCGGGGTTAACTCTAAATCAGCACCTCAGCAAAAACCAAGTTTAAAAGAAGTCAATTCGATAGGAACTTTTGAACAATAGAGGTCGGTTCATTGCAACGAACCTCGCGCATTCACGCGCAGCCTAACCTTTCACTACAAAATAGGTGGCGGGCCGAGAGCTACAGTGGACACTCACTCGTCTTCCCAGGGGCATATCTCGTTGGCCTTGCCCTCCGTGGAAGACCCCCGCTCCACCGAGGCCCTGTCCTCGCTCTTGCTGGTGGCGAGCGGGGGGCCGCCCTGGCGCGCGCCTCGCGAGCTGCTGCAGGCCGCGCTAGGGCATGCCGAGGAGGACGGGCCTGGGGAGGGCGCCGTCGACGGCCCGGCCGACGGCGAGGGCGGCGCCGTGCTCTCGTCCTCCTGCTGCGCCAGGGGCGCCACGAGCGTGCCGTCCTGGACGCGGTCCTGGACGCGGTCCTGGGCGCGGTCCTGGGCGCCGTCCTCGGCGGGCTGCTCGGCGGATGGCTGGCGCTGGACGCCGCCGGGAGACTCAGCCTCGGCCGCGGTCGGGGCCACCGCCGTCCGCGGGGACGCGGCGGCAGCAGTCTCGTCGCTATTGTCAAAGGTGTCGTCCACCACCGAGCTCACACTGATGAGCGGGGTGGCCGACGACGAAGATTTCTTTCGCACGCCTTTCTTACTAGTCCTGGCGGCTGCTGCACAGTGGGAGGGGTCCGCCGCGCACGCCGCGCACGCCGCGCCCGCCAGCGCCGGCTGCTTCTTGCTCTTCTTGTGCCGGGAAAGCTCCGGCCCCGTCTGCTGCGCGCGGTCCTCGAACTTGGTTTCGCGCGACTCTTTGGCGACCGCGCTGGCGGGGCTGGCGGGGCTGGCGGGGCCGGCGTCGCAGGCCGGCTGCTCGGCCGCGGCCTTGGCCTCGGCGGCCTCCTCCTCCGTGTTCGCTGTCGGTGGGGGTGGGGTGGGGGCGGGGGCAGGGGTGGGGGTTGCGGGGGTGGGGCTGGCGAGGGGCTCTGCGGGCTCCTCCGCTAAGGATCGCGACAGGGGTGCCGTCGCAGAGTCGAAGGAGCGTTGCGGCGTGGCCAGGTCCTCGGTGGACGAGACGGACGGCCGGGGTGCCGGGGTGGTCGCCGACGAGGGTGCTGAGGACGGCGCCGACGAGGGCGCCGACGTTGCCGACGACGCCGCCGCCGCGGTGGCCGAGGCGGCCGCCGCCGCCAGCACGGACGGCGTCACCAGGGACTCCGACGCGCGCCTCGTGTCGCGCTGGCCCGCCATCAGGCGCTTGCCGTCGGAGGACGGCCCCGGGCTGCCGGTGACGCTGTGCTGCTGCACGCAGCACGACTTGCGCAGCCTCTCCGACACCTGCAGCACGCACGCGTTGAGGGCACGCCCGGAAGCATGTTCAAGAAGGAAGCGAAGGACGAGTTGGCCGGCACACTCGAAGAGTGTAGTCGACGTCCTCGGTCCGAGGCTGAACTATAGAGTAAGCTGCTCACCCTCACCTCCGCGATGGCGATGGAGATGTCCGAGGACGATCCCCCGAGTCCAGCTGGGAGGAGTTCTTCCTAGAGATGCGGCCGGGGCCGGGGCCGGGCTGGGCGGGCTGCTCCGGGGCCAGGGCCTTGGGGGGGCCCGCGTCCCAGGGGCAAACGTCATCGGCCTGGCTCCTGCCCGCGCCCTGGCCGCCCTGGCCGCCCTGGCCCTCGTCTGAGGAGCCGCCGGGAGGGTCCCTGTGAGCACACCACACGCCGGAGTCAGCAAACACGTCTTTAGTTTCTCGGAAGGCCATGAAATGAATCTACGGTTCTGTCGTTGAGTGTTTTTGTTGTTGTTTGCGAAATTTTATACCACATGCCACGTCTTTTTTTAAAATTTGGAGCGTAGAGTAAGGACTCGAACAAGGGTAACATTTCGGTAGCGCTTCGCACAGTCAAGGTGAGCAACGAAGAAGCCTACCAACGCTAATACAAATTATAAAGAAAACCAAAGAGGGCATATATAATATAGAGATACAGCTGAGCTACCGATATGATACCAAAAGAATACATGATGCAAAAGAAACAACAACAAAAGGTTTTACAAAAATAAGAATCGGCGTTCGGGAATTCCCGTGACAAAAATCTTTTGAATTATTGTATCGGGAATGCCCGACACTTTGGTACACACACCATGCAGAGAAGTGAAAACTGTAATACATTCGTGAAATTATGTCGTGCGCCCAAACTACCACCAGTTTAAGTGACACATCGAGAAGGTAAAGTTCCAACACTATCGACACACAGTGCAGTAGAGGTGGCCTGCTGGGAACAATCATTGGGCTGGTTTCGTAAAAAACGTCACAACCGATTTTCTTTATATTTTAAAAACAAAAATAAAAATTATAAATGGCGAAAGATTTGGAATAAAAGGTTGTGATATTTTGTCCGAAACAATGTTGGTTTGGAAATTGAGAGATTTGGGAAATCTGTCTAAGCGCGGGAAACTGGGAAACTGAACAACGCTGCACACCGAGGGAAACTCAGTCGCGTTTAGCTGTCGAACAGGAACGCCTTCGACTAGTAATTCGGTTTCTGGGTAAAATTTAGTGGACTAGTGTTTCCCTCAGTGTGTGAGCGGTATCTACACTGGATAGGAGGGGAGTCAAATACCAACACACACAGCAAATAAGACAGAGAAAAGGGTCACCCTCGAAAGACCTAGGCGAAAGAAAAAAATGCACTTACAGACTTGACCAAATCGCTGGCGACACTGGGGAATGGCTTGGTAGATCTCCCCTGAAATGTCAGGCATGTGTTAGGTGCATGGTGCGTGAGATGGGTGGCTAGGACATGAACGGAGAACCTCTACAGCGTCAGTGTAAAGCAGTGCATGGCGAAAACCGACTGCTTTCGTTCCGGGGTTGAACCGCAGGTTCAAATCCCAACAAAAGCCATTTTTTTCGACTCAATTCCTTACACTGAACTTGGGTGCGTCTGTGTCAGACCGTACTGGTGCATACTGTTGTACCTCCTCTACCGCTACGGGTGAACAAAAGTACACTAGTTCGGACCGCAGTCAACTCAATCGGTTTAGTTAGACAGTTTTATTTAAAATGTTACGGCAAAAATCATGATTTATTTAACGATTGGTTTAATATGTGGGTGGCTGGGGGCACCGACCTGTACGGGATGTCGCTGAGGTTGGACTGCGAGTGGCTGTGGCTGACCGTTCTGCCCAGCTCCTTGTCTCTGACTCCGGCCACGGCCAGTTCGTGGGCCGAACCACTCAGCGAACGGTCGCTCCCTCGCCGACGGCCCGCCAAAGAACCCTGCGGACACACATTCACGTTCAAAAAACAAAGTCAGAGAAAAAATAATATAACGGTCGAGGAAACACCAGGTAGCTCGAGCGAGGCAGGATAGACAGTCTTAAAATTAACAAATGCTGTCGCTCTCGAAAGAAATGATGAGTCAGACGACACCCTAAGTGATGCTGAGCATGAGCATTTCTTTTGAGAGAGAAGGTACAGTGTAGTCGCTGTGCCACCTGGAGTTCGAAAAAAAAAATAAATAAATGATGGACTCGTAGTGCTCGAGGAAAGTGGAAGCAGCCAGTGCATTGCGAACAAAATGAATGAATAGAGAATGATTGCGAAGCCGTGCGAGCGTCTAACCTGCGGTACCTGCTGCGACAGCGACGCTGCGGTGGACTGCTGCTGCTGCAGCAACGCCTGGGGCTGGTTCGCTGGCTTTTTCTTTCCCGGACCGCCGAAGTTGAAAAACCTGCGCCAGGAGAGGAACACTCAGCACATTATACGTTTTACGGGGAAAGTCCCCACCAAAACTTTGTGAAGTCACGTTGAAAAGTTATAGCGTGACTTGTGAGTTACCGCTATTTTAAGCATGCCCTGTCTGACGTGCTGTTGGATTGCTGAAGTGTGACTCTTTCACATTCATTTTTCCGAAACGGCATGTGAAGTCAGGAAATTAAAGTGTAGTGTCCGTGTCCGTGGAGAGCACCCGCCGCTCTCGCGCGGCCAGCGGGCAGCCTACCTCCACGGCGCTCCCCGGCGCGCTCCACAGCGGACCAGGCCCACTGTGCGGCCTGGCAGTGGACGTACCGTTTCTTGGCGCTGGGCTGCACCCCGGCCGCCAGCAGCTGCTTGTACATCTCGGAGCGGCGGAAGCGCGGGTAGCAGTCCTTCTTGAGCAGCAGGGCGTACACGTGGTCGGCGGCGGGGTCGAAGGTGAACCGCGACGGCGTCCTCAGCTCCTGCTGCGTCCGCTCCATCGTCTTGCCGTCGATGTTGACCTCGCACGGCGCGCCCGGCGCGAGGAACTCGCTGCGAGAGGGGCGGGCGACGTTAGAATCATTCGGGGGGGAGGCACGCGGTAAAAATACTTTGTCATCGACTCCGTTGAATTCGATTGCCAACAAAGTCTTTTCTTCCATTCATGCCCGAAAACAATCGAAAGTATGAAGTTCTCCTCGTGGATGCAGCCTAAGCTATCTTCCCCAAAGCATCCTGGGAGGACAGACCTCCCCCCTCCCAAACCCAAGCCGCCTCTGGTTCAACTCCCGAAACGGCTCCGCTTCGCTCCCAACAAATCAAGCGAACGTTTCATTTTGCTGTCACGTGCCTCGAGTCCCCTTCTCGTCAATATTAAGGCAACGGTCGCGGCGATTCCCAGTGGACGTGCCGCGGGAAGTGGGGGGGGGGGGGGGGGTCAGGTCGAGACCCTGAAAGGTTGCCAGCTAACGATACATCAATCCACAGAGTAAACAAACTCTCGGCAAGTGCCCTTTGCCTCCACAGCTGCGCACTGACTAACCCCCACCCCACCCGCCCTGACCGCCGCCACCGCACCAAGTTCTCCCCCATCGAGGTCGCACGGCTAAAACTGTCAAATCAACTTTGCGGGGCCAGCGTCCCAACCAACCAAAAAAAAAATGAAGCAGGGGGCAAAAAATGAAGAGCTAATTCGTCGAGCTGCTGCCGGTGAGTGAAACAAGCCCGAGGCACTTAATCATCATCGAGGCGGCGGAGGCCGGCAGGCTGCCAAGGCCAGCGAGCGGGGCGGAACTCACTTGAAGATCTCCTTGACTTTCTGCGGGATCTCCTTCTGCGAACTGCGCCGTAGGTCGTTGACGGCCAACCAGAACCGGATGTTTTCGTGGCTGTATTCCTTCCGCAGGTAGTTGGTGAACTCTTGGAGACCTGGAAGCGAGGAGCGGGTCAGTAGGGTCAAGTGCACAGTGGGCCAGAAGGCCGCTGGGGGTGGTCAAAATCCCGGACGTGGTTTGAGCTCCAGAGTCGCTAAATGGGACTCGAACCGAACGTGCGACCCCACCAATGGATTGCTCTCCGAACGAAGATTCCATTGGTGGGGTCACACGTTCGGTTCGAGTCCCATTTAGCGACTCTGGAGCTCAAAACGCGTCTAGAATTTTGGCCGCCTCCACCGGTCTTCTGGCCCACTGTGCAGCGTGTTTGCTCTCCCTTTATAAATTGTTGTTACTTTTACTGTGACACTGTACACGGAGCGACTCAGGCAAAATTTTAACGCCCTTCCAAAGACACTGCCTCATCACACCCTTGAAGGGCGTGTTTCACCAGTGTAGTGTCGCTCGAGCTTTGCTCACCCGTCGGGTCGCAGACCAGTTCCTCCATGCTGATGGCCCATCGCCGCACCCGCTTCTCCGTTGGGATTTCCACGCTGCAACACAAACAAAACTCAAGTTGGAGAGCGAGCGAGACAGAGACAAACCCTGCGGGGTGGGGGCGGGGCGGGCAGGGCGGGCAGAACCCGCCGCCTCGGCTGCTTTTAGGGGGCGGTACCGCGGGGCGTGGGCGGGGGCTGTGGGCGATGTGGGCTGTGGAGGCACGCCAGCAGGAGCTGTGGTGTAGGGCTGTTGTGCCCCTCCTAGAAGCTGGGGGCTGGCCCGCTGCACCGAACCAAAGGTGGTGGCCGCAGAGGGCCCGCCGGAGGAGGTTCGTCCGGGGCGGGTCCGCACGGGAGGCTTGCCAGAAAGAGTCCAGTTTCGGAGTCCAGTTTCAGAGCACCGAGAGTGCTGTGCATTCCGGGGGCTATTCCCAGGGCCTTCAGCAGGCCGTCCGAAGGGGAGGGTGCGAGAGGGACACAGCGACATGCTCCAAAGTCTTTCGCAGGGGCGGCTGGTCAGGGGGTCAGAAAACGTCAGAACGAGGCCACCGGGGCCAGCGGCAAGCCGCTACGTCGTTTCTGGGCTCCTGGATGGGGACGGGCCGTGGTGGGACGGGCTGTTGCAGGTGTGGCTGGCACACCGTCAGAGCCTGATAGCCGCCTTGATGTGGAGACGGGGCCTGTACAGTGTATCTGCAAGGCAAAGCGCGGCGGAAAAGGGAGGGGGAGGGGGTCACTGCCAAACAACGGGGCCTCCGTATTCATTCGAAGCAAGCCAAGAGCCACGCACTGCAGGGCCGGCTGTGCACTGTCGCGGAGTATAACGCTCTTTGAAAGCGCCGCCGAAAAGGAAGAGGGGGGGAGGGGAGGGAGACTGTGGGAAAGAATGCGCCTGGGAAGAGGTAGTAGTAGAAGAAGAAGAAGAAGAAGAAGAAGAAGAGGGAGGAGGAGGAGAGGTACAGGGAGAGTGCGTCTGCGGTATTAGCATTTCAAATGGGCAGCCCGGTGGCCGCCGCCGTGCCTTGCCGTGCCACGCCTTGCCTTTCTTTAGATGACGTCGGCGCGCCGGCTCCGCCACCCCCTCCCCTTTCACACCTCCCCCTCCACCGTGGCGAGGCTTTCACGCGCCGCCCCGCGCCGCCCCGCCCCCTCGCTCTACTCGCCTCTCGGAGCGGCCCCGCTGCCGCGCTGGTGGCGGCGCTACTTACATGGGACTGTTGAGCAGCCAGAAGGTGGGGTCCTCGCTGACCCAGGGGTTGGAAGGCTGCGGCGGCGTGGTCAGTGGGTCCCACTCGCAGAACAGGTCGCAGTAGGTCATCAGCGACTCCAGCGCCACGGACATCTTGATGCGCGTCCGGTCCATGCACCGTCGGAGGAAATCCACCTGAAGAAGGCGTGTCCGTTACACTGTTAGGAATTTGTTTTTGACATTCCCAGACGATTTTGCTAGGAGAAAAAAATAGCCTCTGATGTTTGGAAAACTCCAAAACCTTCTCCGGCATGAGAGGCGAGTCCACTCGCAAGAAGATGTTTATTCCCGGTGTGGGTCCGGCCCCAGGCACCGAGCTACAGAGGTCTCCTCTTTCAAGGAGTTGCGACGCTCGTTGCCATTACGCGACGGTTTTCCAAGAAGCGGGTGGAATGCCCCCTTCACAGTGGGCCAGAAGACCGATGAAGGCGGCTAAAACTCTAGACGCGTTTTGAGCTCCAGAGCCGCTAAATGGGACTCGAACCGGGTGAGTGACCCCACCATTGGATTCCTCGTTCCGAGGGCAATCCATTGGTGGGGTCACACGTTCGGTTCGAGCCTCCTTACCTCTCTCTGTACGTCCTCCAGGCTCCGCTTCTTGGGTTTGCTGCTCCTGCTGCGACTGGGCACGGGCACGTACTCCAGCGAGTTGAGGAAGCCGGGAGGAGGCCTGTTCACTCTCCAAAAGGCGCGCTCTTGCGAGTCCAACACGATCTTGTCACACTTCTTCATGCCTTTCGCCTTTCGAACCTGCAAAGCGAACGACATCCGTTCATATTGTGGCAACCAGCACCCGGAAAAGTTAACCAAGACAATGAGGGTGCTGTAGAGTTCAGAATGATTTTGCTCAGCTTTACAATAAAATGCAGTTTTTACATTCATTACAATGCCTTTGTTTTCTTCGTCGGCCTTTTACTGTGTAGTTTCAGAGGATGATTGAGATTTGAATAGTGCATCAGAAACGAATCAACAAGTTGTGCGGAGCTGATCCGACGAGCGATTTCTTTCTGGGTTTGTGCCAAGCTGGCAGTGTGCTCACCTGTTCGTCTGCTTGCAACACGATACACTCCCACTTGTTTTGTAGATTCTTCTTGAGACTCGCCAGTGCCTCCTGCAAGCCAAAGAAGTTACCAGGGTGAAACTTAGTAATTACAGTTGGCGGTGTTGTGAACCTTGGTTCCTCAAGCTGTGTTGCCGCCACAAAAAACAAACAAACAAAAACAAAAAAAAGATCGTACCATTTCGTAGTCCTCCAGGCCGTGCCGCTGCTTGTTGCGTAACGTTCTCTTCACCAGGTAGATGGCGTACTCCACGTTGTCCGGGGTCTTGTTGGACTGCCACGGCCAGTACAGCGGCGTCTGCAAAAGCGTGGCAATGCCATTATGCATTTATCGAACCGACGTCCCAGGGACATGAGCCAGGCACGCGCCTGGGAGGCTAAGAAGGAGAGGGAGTCTGTGGTTGACCAGGAGTCCAATAGTCAAGTAGTCTTGGATTAACCAACCATGTAGCCTAGAACTCTACTGATCCAGGAACCTATTATTCAGTCTTAGGTGTAACCAAAGACCAGTACTCACTTGGAACCGGTACAGAGAGCTGTCATCCTTCACGACCAGGTTTTTGGTGTCGCTCACGGGAAAGAAATACCCGTACTGGCACAGCAAGTTTCCGATGTGCAAAGCCTCTACTGCGAACACCCGGCAAAAGAGAAACACCAGATTAACCCTCATTTCCGCTCTAACGTCGGGCTAGCTTCACCGTGAGAACAGGAATAGTCTACGAGTAAGGAAGCCGAAAAGAAACCTCGCCAAAACTACGAAAAGAAATGATAATAATACGACAGTAAAGTTAGTGAAGGGAAAAGAACGAGCTATACCCTTGGCTATACCTGACTCTTCGATGTTCAACCGGTCCATCAACCACTCAATCAGATCGTAACCTGCGATCAGAAACACATAACAAATACCACAAAAAACAAGGACAAAATTTATCACTCTAAAAGCATTAATTTACCACTCACCCATAAATGCGGAAGGTATTGAAGTAAGAAAAAGTTTTTGGCAGCGTACTGGCACCCCTGTTTCTGGATCCTGCATCTCCCGAACCAGCCCCTCCATCTGTCGACAAAAAAAACAGAACGGCGGATTTAGCCATGCAGCGCGACACAAGGGGAATGTCCAGGGGGGTCGGTTGACCCTTTCTCATAAATACTCCTGTGGGGTAAACGAGGTCACAGTGCAGGTACACGTGGCCGAGCAAGGCATCGAGGAACCTCAACATAACTAAAATCGGTCACTAAAATCCTCCCCAAAAAATATGACAAATTTATGATGAATATGATTGCCGCAAGCCAGCGGCCCCCTCTCTCATTTCTCCCCGAGGCAAACCCAAATCGCCCCATCCCGAAAAGAAATAAAAAATGGAAAGCAACAAAAAGAATTGAGGCCTTGTAGCGATCTTTCCCCTTGCTTTGTCCCCGTAGGCACGTGCAGGCCGTGCCCGGGCCGTGCCCGCGCGGCCCGAAGTTCCCGCCGTATCTCCGAGTCTGGAGGCGAACGTAGAAAAACTTTCCCCCTTTCGCAGAGTCGTGCGGTGGCGGATCACAGTGGGCCGGAAGGCCGGTGGAGGCGGTCAAAATCCCGGACGCGTTTTGAGCTCCAGAGTCGCTCAATGGGGCTCGAAACGAACGTGTGACCCCACCAATGGATTGCGCTTCGAACTAGGAATCAATTGGTGGGGTCACGCGCTCGGTTCGAAGCCTGTTTAGCGACTCTGGAGCTCAAAACGCGTCTAGAGTTTTGGCCGCCTCCACCGGTCCTCTGGCCCACTGTGCGGATCCAGAGCCGGCCTGGGAGGGGGCTGCCTGTCTCCAAGCCGAGCCGGGCCTGTCGCTGTCGGGCAGGGGAGGGGGAAGGGAGGTGTCCTGCCTCACTGGCCGGTGTAAACAAGGATCGAGCAACCACGGGACTGCTCCCCGCCTCCCCGTCCACGCAGTCTGCACACAGTGTGCCCCACAGTGTGCCCCACAGTGTGCCACACACAACCTGGGTGGAGCCACGAGGCGGGGCGGCGCGGCCCCGCGCTGTTTAATCCGGAACTTGGAGCAGGGCTTGCACTATAAGCCAAGCCGCCGTCAAGTGTAGTGGCGCGGCGTGGCGGCGTGGCGCCCTGACCCGGGGAACATCGCGCAGCCAAGCAGCGCGCCGTCCTCCAGCACCTCCTTCAGGACCTCCTTCAGGACGCCTCGCGATTGGTTCCACACCACGGGCCGCTATCTCTCACCGGCAGCGGGATTTTCCCCGCGCCACGCAGGTATCTCGAGCGCGCACACACAGCAGTCAATTTGTTTTTAGCTGGATGAATTCAGTGGGTGTGGTGGTGTGGCGGTGGAGTGCAGCCCTTGTGTGTGTGTGGGTGGGTAGGTGGGTTACAGGTGCGTGAGCGTGGGGGTTGCTTTTTGAGCGGAGCAGAAGGCCGCGGGGCGGCGGGACAGCCACCTGGCGACAGTCCCAGGGCCCTGTGTGTGACTGACTGACTGACCACCCCACGCCCTCCACGCCTCCTCACACTGGCGGGGCGGGCCCAAACCAACGCCCCGCGACAACGCCGAGAAATAAAAGAAAAAGAGTAAAAACTCTGCGCTAAACTCTGGGAAAAATGTTTCGGCCCGAGCATTTTCCAGCGTGCGGGTTTAACGAAAGGGGCGTGTGGCGCCAAATGTGCGGCACGCTGTAAGTTGCGTGCGCGCCGCCCGGCCCCGCCCCTCCACTCTTTGTTCAGTGCTCGTCGCGCGCTTTTCCGCGAAACGAAAAAAAAAAAGGAAATTCCCTGCCAGTGTATGTGCCTCCGCTTACGTGAGTCGAGAGAGAAGGCTGCGGTTTTTTGTTGTTTGTTTTTGGTATTTAACTCTTTTTTTTCATATTTTACTTTCATCTCTCGCCGTAGTGCCCGCGCGCGTTGCGCGTTCGCAGGGAAAACAGAGACGGAAGCAACGCGGCCGGGCCGCGCCGAATCAAATTCTAAATGATTGATCGTGGGAATATTGATGGCTCGTGCCAGGGCTGGCTGCATATACAGAGCTGCCTGCCTGCTCCGCCTGCCCGCCTGCCTGCCTGCCTGCCTGCCTGCCTGAGGGATGGAGCTCAGAGTGGCTGGCTTGATAGGGTCGCGTCCCGCATAGCAGCGTGCCTGCCATAATTTTCGTCATTTTGCGTCCGTCCGTCCGCTGCATGCTCCAGGCTGGTGGGTCCCGGTGCATCTGACCGGACCAATGCAGACAGTTTGTCTTCCCGGGCAAACGTGTCGAGGGCGCATAAATTGAAGTGCCAGCGGCACTGGAGATAGCCGCCGGCATGCTTGCCTGTCCGTCCGTCCGCCTGTCTGTCCGCCCGTCCGCCCGCTCGCGTGCGAACGTCCGTCTCCGTTCCACCCTCAATCCACTTCGATGGACAGACAGAGACGGAGCGAGCGAGCGCGCCCTGCGTGCCGCCCTCCGCATTCCGGGCCACAGAGAGAGAGAGAGAGAGAGAGAGAGAGAGAGAGAGAGAGAGAGAGAGAGAGAGAGAGAGAGAGAGGGTGAGCTAGCGCCCGACGGAGCGAGGCTAGTCCACCCGCACGACGGGCGTGCCCGGCGCGGCCGCGCGTTGCCTACCTGCCGGGCGGTCCGCCGCTTCGCTACGCCGCGCCGCTCCGTTGGCGCGCGCCGTAGCGTTGCGTTCCCTGTTGTTCGTTGTTGTTTCGTTGCTCGCTCTGCGCGTTGCTCGCTCGGCGCGGTGTGGCAGTGAGCGCCATTCGTCCCACTCACCCGCTGGCGCGCTGGCCTCGCGCTGCCTCGGGCTTTCGCACTCCGTCCTGTCCAGCCCGGCAGAGCGGCAGAGCGGCGCCCAGCACACAGGCCTTTCCGCATCGCGTCCAACTCATCCCCGCGAGTGGCCGCGCCGGGCGTTTGCCTCGCCCCGTCCCGTCCGCCCCCTCTGCATATTTCCGACAGTGTGCGCCCCGGATGAATAATGTTTGATTGTATGAAGGGTGCGCCCGCTACTAATGAAAGTTTTGATGTGCTCCCTCGGGTGCAATTCTCGTCCGTCCGTCGTCTGTCTGTCCGTCCGTCCGCGTGTCTGGCCTGCCGCCTGTTTCGGCTGCATGCCGTCGGGACGCACGTGAAGGAGGATGGTGTGTGTCTGAGCCAGAGGCCGTGCCGTGCCGGCTGGGTCGGAGGGGGAAGGGGTAGGAGGGGCACAGCTGCGAGCAGTGGCGTACCGTTACCCCGCCGACCCTTTTGCCAACCCATTCTCCACACCCCTCCACTGCCACCGCTGCCTCACAGCTGCTCCACTTTGGTGGAGCAGGGACCACACACATACCAACACAGCGCACACCAACACAACAAAGCTAGCTGGCTAGTGTTTCTCTCCCTCTCGCTCCGGCATGGGGTTGGTCTCCCCCGTACTCAGAGCGTTTTATTTATCGCAGGACAAATTTAACCGGCGCACCTCGCCCGGCCACATGTTTCACACACGCACACACACACACACACACACACACACGATTTTAAATACATGTGAGGATAAATAAAAAAGAAAGGTTCCATTATATCCAGCCATGCGGCTAGGCACAGCGGCGGATAGTGGAGGAAATGACTTCTCTAAATTTTCTCGTGGAACTGCTGTCTCTTCGAACCCTTTTATTATTTTTCCGTTCGTCTGTCCGCCGGTGTCCTTTTTCCTTTCCGATACTTCTCGCTGGCGCGGTTTGTTGGGTGGGGTCGTCCTGCCGCCGCCTGCCGCCGCCTGCCGCCGCCGTCATGACACTTTTGAAATTACTTTCCAAGACGCTCTCTCGCTGTCGGAGTGTCGGAGTGCGAGGCGGTGACCATGCGAGGAATGCGGACCCCGCACCGGCCCGCCACTTTCGAGACCAGTCCATCTCCGGGCGCAGACTCGGACCGAGACCCAGATCCAGACAGACCCAGACCAGCCAGACCCAGACCCACCCAGACAGACCCAGACCCAGCGACCCAGACAGACCCAGAACCATGGCGCCGTGCCTAGTCGCCGTTCTCGCCGGATTCAGAAAGAGCTGAGTGCTTAAACTTCCGCAATCATACACGGCATCCAGCGACATCGCGAGGCGGAAAGGGGGGGGGGAGGCGCCTGCCTGCTTCTGGGGGAGAGGCTCGGTCTGTCCTCAGCATTTCTACAGCAGTCAGCCCCCCGACGCCTTTGTTAGCCGAATGCCCCACTGGTTATACGACTTCTCTCTCTACGCCCACGCCCCTGATTCCACACTCTGTGTGTGTGTGTGTGTGTGTGAGAGAGAGAGAGAGAGAGAGAGAGAGAGAGAGAGAGAGAGAGAGAGGCCCGACGTGTTTCGTGTTTTGTGCTCCGGTATGAAAGATTTATAAATCTATGGCGGGGTGGTGTGGTGGTGGTCCAGGTGTGCAGAACAAGGCATACCATTATGCGGCGCGCCATAAATGCAGATTCCGCAAACGCGCCGCTGCGGCAACCAGTGGCGGCACTGTGAGGCGCCAAGGAAGCAGTGTTGCCACACATAGGGAGACAAAAGTTGCCGCGGTGCACCGGCCCGGAAAGGGTTGCCAACCTCATCCCCTTCGGCGAGCATCCCCTGGAGAGCAAAGTCCAGATATTGCCCAGTGTTGGCAACTTTCGACACTGGCGCATCCTGGGAATTTTTGCCTTCTGATGTGGCAACCCTGGCGCCAGGGCGGACGCGGCGCGTTCCGAAACGAAGCGAGACGGACAAATTGGCCCTTGTTGCGAGTGGGGCGGGCCGGGGCGGGGCGCACAGTGGGCCAGAAGACCGGTGGAGGCGGCCAAAACTCTAGGCGCGTTTTGAGCTCCAGAGTCGCTAAATGGTACTCGAATCGAACGTGTGACCCCACCAATGGATTCCTCGTTCGGAGAGCAATCCATTGGTGGGGTCACTCGTTCGGTTCGAGTCCCATTCGGCGACTCTGGAGCTCAAAACGCGTCGAGAGTTTTGGCCGCCCCACTGTGGGGCGGGGCAACGCGGAGGGACGCGGAGAGAGACGCGCGGATTGCGGATTGTTAATCACCTCTTGTTCGTTGTCGATTTCCCTTCGCCTTCCTCTGCA